GTTTTCCTGAATAATATCCTGAAGCGTATTTTCCAGCTTGAATTGATTCTCTTCGTCACATTCAGGTACACCTATCAAACGTAGATTAGGTCTTTTCACATAGTCCCATATTTCTTGGAGACTTTGCTCGTTCTTTTTTATCCTTTTTTCTCTAATCTTGTCTTTTTGTTTTATTTCATGAAGTTGGTCTTCGACCTCTGATATCTTAATCTTTTACAAATTAAGAGAAATTTGTAAAGCACCTCGAAAAATATTCAATTCAATATGTGATGGACAGTTGAGAAATTATGTGTTATCTGTTATGGGAAAGCAACTTTTAAGAAGAAAACATTTCCTTTGAGGTTTTCACAAACAAATGAAACTGTGAACCATCATACGTACTGAGAAAGGACAATTTGAGGTGCTTCTCTGACTAGCAGCAGGTTTAGTATTCTTTCCTCATTTCATATTTTACTTAATAAAACAAAACATACCTGTATACACACGCATTCACTGATATTGAAGATGCAGGATGAAGAAAGATACATGACATTGAATATACAGTCAAAGAAAAGGAATTCTGCCCAAACATCTCAACTTACATTTAAAGGTATGGAATTTCATTTCATTTTCAATTGGTGTGAATTAACAGTGTAGTTTCCTGTATTCTGTTCTATAGTGTTATTGGACTGTTTCATTATTGGGAGATTTTCTTTCTCTGTCTTTGTATCTCTCTCTCCTTCTCTTTTAATAATAATAATGATTTAAAAATAACAAACACTCTAACCATTTAAGGAACACCAATTGCAGGCACTATGCAGAGTGTTTTATCTATGTTTCTTCATTTACTCTTACAAAATTCCTATGAGAGACTCTTGCTCCCATTTATCAATGTGGAACTAACACTTACTTGTATTATTTTGTCTGCCATAATTTCTTAAGGACATTCTCTGAGGAAATATGTGCATTCAATTAAAATTAACAATTTCAGATTAGTGAATATTTGGTACCATTCACCTCCTTATCATTCACAGAATATGGCATTTTAATGCTATTTTTTTTTCTTTGAGACAGAGTTTCACTACTCTGCCAAGGCTGGAGTGCAATGGCAAGATCTCAGCTCACTGCAATCTCTGCCTTCTGGGTTCAAGCAGTTCTCCTGCCTCAGCCTCCCTAGTAGCTGGGTTAACAGGCACCCACCACCACGCCCGGCTAATTTTTTGTAATTTTAATAGAGATGGGGTTTCACCATGTTGGCCAGGCTGGTTTCAAACTCCTGACCTCAGATGATCCACCTACCTTGGCCTCCCAAAGTACTGGGATTACAGGTATGAGCCACTATGACTGGCCTTTAATACTAATTTTTATTTTAACCTCTCAAAAGCTTTAAAATATATTCTTCACCTGTTTAACTCAAAATAAAGTTTATAAGTCAGCAACCAACATTTAAATTTACTACTTCAAGCATACCTTCCATACATGGTGCAACTCTATCATGCCACCTTAATGTGATATGGCAAAAGAGATAAGCAGACACTAAAGACACAAATAATCGTAGTTATAGAGACTCTGTTCTGTTCTATTGCTTTCTAAATGTTTCTCTTTTGATAATTTCACCCATGAAAATATTACCTGTCTCTGGAGTCCTTCTGCAACTGACATCCATTACTGATATCTTAGAGTTACATACGTGCTATGTATACAAAAATTTACTGCTTCTTTCATGTGAATTTTTACAGATTCCCATATTTTCAAGTCTTTCTTTCTTATACTTAATTTTCATTTTGTTTTTGGAAACTGGAGATATTAAACCTGAAAGACTACAAAATGTATTGACTTTGCAGCAGACTTTTTTCCACAATCTGTTCATAAATGTCTCTTTGAAGCAAAAATGTGCAGGTTTCTAAAATTTTATTTATTTAAATTTATAAAGTTTAAAAAATATAGTAAGATACTTTCAGAGAAATTCACCTGGAATAAATCCAGCTCCCTTAATAAGATTGTATCATTTTGTATTTCTGTCTTCTCACTGTTTACTTAGCTATTCTCATTCCTGTTCTTCCAAGTAACTTTATAATACATTATTCAGGCTGACTCACTACAAACAAAAGAAATAAAACAATCTGATGTAGCTTTTACATCTAAATTACTTCCTATTTTGTCTTTTAACTTAGGTAGAATTTATCTTTATGACAGTTTTCTTATGCGAGAACATGATCAAATTAATGTTATTAAGTTTTTGGTCAGTTTTCTTTTTTTTTTTTCCCCTGTACTGGCTTGGGCATTTGTCGAGTTTCTGTCTGGTATTCTTTCTTTCTTTTTGTTTGTTTGTTAACTATCTATAAGTATGGATTTATTTCATCTGTGTTTTCACAGTGGTTACTGGATTTTATAGGACACGATTTTAGTATGTTATTTTCATAAATGTGGCTACTATTTTTTTGTTCCTGGAATTACGGTATTTTTTCAACCGATTCTTTAGGTTTTACCAAATCTGTACTCACATTATCTTCACATAGTTTTATCTTGTTTTTATAATGTTTCTACCAGTAATTAGAGTATTTTTTCTTCATTAAATTATATATTACCTCTTCATATTAAAAAGTAGTGGAGATTTGAGGTATCTTTCTTTTTCTGGTCTTCAGCAGAAAAGCTTCTTTCAGTTGTCTCAATTGAATAAGATGTTAGCTTCATTACACATAAAACTATTATGTTGAACAAGTATTTATTAATTCCTCTTTTTAACATAAAGGTAGACAATTTTATCAATTTCATTTTTTTTCATTTTTCTTTTATTGTACTTTAGGTGCTGGGGTACATGTGCAGATCTTGCAGGATTGTTGCATAGGTACATACATGGCAAGGTGGTTTGCCACCTTCATCCCCCATCATCTATATCTGGTATTTCTCCCCACCCTCCCCACTCCCCACTGTCCCTCCCCTAGCCTCCCCAGCTGACCACAGTGTGTGATGATCCCCTCCCTGTGTCCATTTGTTCTCATTGTTCAATATCTGCCTATGAGTATGAAGAGGCAGTGTTTGGTTTTCTGTTCTTGTGTCAGTTTGCTGAGAATGACAGTTTCCAGATTCATCCATGTCCCTACAAAGGACACAAACTCATCGTTTTTACGGCTGCATACTATTCGATGTTGTATATGTGCCACATTTTCTTTATTCAGTCTATCGCTGATGGACATTTGGGTTGGTTCCAAGTCTTTACTATTGTAAACAGTGCCTCAGTGAACATACATGTGTGTGTGTCTTTATAATAGAACAATTTATAATTCTTTGGGTATATACGCAGTAATGGGATTGCGGGGTCAAATGGAATTTCTATTTCTAGGTCCTTGAGGGATCACCATACTGTCTTCTACAATGGTTGAACTAATTTACACTCCCACCAACAGTGTAAAAGTGTTCCTATTTCTCCACATCCTCTCCAGCATCTGTTGTCTCCAGATTTTTCAGTGATCGCCATTCTAACTGGTGTGAGATGGTATCTCAATGTGGTTTTGATTTGCATTTCTCTAATGACCGGTGAAGATGAGCATTTTTTCATATGTTTGTTGGCCTCATATATGTTTTCTTTTGTAAAGTGTCTGTTCCTATCCTCTGCCCACTTTTGAATGGGGTTTTTTTTTTTCTTGTAAATCTGTTTCAGTTCTTTGTAGATTCTGGATATTAGCCCTTTGTGAGATGAGTAGATTGCAAAATTTTTTTCCCATTCTGTTGGTTGCCAGTTCACTTTAGTGATTGTTTCTTTTGCTGTACAGAAGCTCTGGAATTTAGTTAGATCCCATTTGTCTATTTTGGCTTTTGTTGCCATTGCTTTTAGTGTTTTAGCCATGAAGTCCTTGCTTATGCCTATGTCCTGAATGGTTTTGCCCGGGTTTCCTTTTAAGGTTTTTATGGTGTTAGATCTTATGTTTAGATCTTTAATCCATCAGGAGTTAATTTTAGTGTTAGGTGTCAGAAAGGGGTCCAGTTTTTGCTTTCTGCACATGGCTAGCCAGTTTTCCCAACACCATTTATTGAACAGGGAATCCTTTCCCCATTGCTTGTTTTTGTCAAGATTGTCAAAGATCAGGTGACTGTAGATGTGTGCTGTTGCTTCTGAGGTCTCTGTTCTGTTCCATTGGTCTATGTCTCCATTTTGATACCAGTACCATGATGTTTTGATTACTGCAGCCTTGTAATATAGTTTGAATTTGGGCAGCATGATGCCTCCATCCTTGTTCTTTTTGCTTAGGATTGTTTTGGCTATGCAGGCTCTCTTTTGGTTCCATATGAAGTTTGAAGTGTTTTTTTCCAGTTCTGTGAAGAGGGTCATTGGTAGCTTGATAGGGATAGCATTGAATCTATAAATTACTTTGGGCAGTATGGCCATTTTCATGATATTGATTCTTCCCAACCTTGAGCATGGAATGTTTTTCCATCTGTTTGTGTCCTCTCTTATTTCGTCGAGCAGTGGTTTGTAGTTCTCCTTGAATAGGTCCTTTACATCCTTTGTTGATTGTATTCCTAGGTATTTTATTCTCTTTGTAGCAATTGTGAATGGCAATTCATTCTCAATTTGGCTCTCTTTAAGTCTGTTGTTGGTGTATAGGAATGCTTGTGATTTCTGCACATTTATTTTGTATCCTGAGACTTTGCTCAAGTTGCTTACCAGTTTCAGGAGATTTTGGGCTGAGATGATGGGGTCTTCTAGATATACAATCATGTCGTCTGCAAGTAGAGACAATTTGACTTCATCTTTTCCTAACTGAATACACTTTATTTCTTTTTCTTGCCTAATTGCTCTGGCTAGAACTTCCAATGCTATATTGAATAGGGGTGGTGAGAGAGGGCATCCTTGTCTAGTGTCAGATTTCAAAGGAATGCTTCCAGCTTTGGCCCATTCAGTATGATATTGGCTGTGGGTTTGTCATAAATAGCTTTTATTATTTTGTGATACATTCCATGGATACCTAGTTTATTGAGAGTTTTTAGCATAAAGCGCTGTTGAATTTTGTCAAAGGCTTCTCTGCAACTATTGAGATAATCTTGTGGTTTTTTTCTTTGGTTCTGTTTATGTGTTGGGTTACATTGATTGACTTGTGTGTGTTGAACTAGCCTTGTATCCCTGGGGTGAAGCATACTTCATCATGATGAATAAGCTTTTGATGTGCTGTTGCAATTAGTTTGCCAGTATTTTATTGAAGATTTTTGCATCTATGTTCATCATGGATATTGGCCTGAAGTTTTTTTTTCTTGTTGAGTCTTTGCCGGGTTTTGGTATCAGGATGATATTGGTCTCATAAAATGAGTTGGGAAGGATTCCCTCTTTTTGGATTATTTGGAATAGTTTCAGAAGGAATAGTACCAGCTCCTCTTTGTACATCTGGTAGAATTCAGCTGTAAAGCTGTCTGGACCTGGACTTTTTTTGATTGGTAGGCTTTTAATTGTTGCCTCAACTTCAGGCCTTGTTATTGGTCTATTCAGGGTTTCGACTTCTTCCTGGTTTAGGCTTGAGATGGTGTAAGTGTCAAGGAATTTGTCCATTTCTTACAGATTTACTTGTTTGTGTGCATAGAGTTGTTTGTGGTAGTCACTGATGGTTGTTTGTATTTCTGGGATTGCTGGTGATGTCCCCTTTATCATTTTTCATTGCATCTATTTCCTTCTTTTCTCTCTCTCTCTCTCTTTTTTTAATTAGTCTGGCTAGTGGTCAGATTTGTTGATCTTTTTAAAGAACCAGACCCTGGATTTGTTGATTTTTTTGAAGGATTTTTTGTGTCTCTATCTCCTTCAGTTCTGCTCTGATCTTAGTTATTTCTTGTCTTCTGCTAGCTTTTGAATTTCTTTGATCTTACTCCTCTAATTATTTCAATTTTCATAATAGGGTGTCAGCTTTGGATTTTTCCTTGCTCGTGATGTGGGCATTTATTGTTATGAATTTCCCTCTAGACACTGCTTTAAATGTGTCCCAGAAATTCTGGTACATTGTGTCTTCATTCTTGTTGCTTTCAAAGAACACCTTTATTTCTGCCTTCATTTCATTGTTTATCCAGTCAACATTCAGGAGCCATTTGTTCAGTTTCCATGAAGTTGTGCCGTTCTGAGTTAGTTTCTGAATCCTGAGTTCTAATTTGATTGCACTGTGGTCTGAGAGACTGTTTGTTATGATTTCCATTCTTTTGCAATTGCTGAGGAGTGATTTACTTCCAATTATGTGGTCAATTTTAGATTAGGTGTGATGTGGTGCTGAGAAGAATGTATATTCTGTGGATTTGGGGTTGAGAGTTCTGTAAATGTCTATTAAGTTCACTTGGTCCAGATCTGCTTTCAAGTCCTGGATTTCCTTGTTGATTTTTTGTCTCGTTGATCTGTCTCATATTGACAGTGGAATGTTCAAGTCTCCCACTATTATTGTGTGGGAGTCTAAGTCTCTTTCTAGGTCATTAATGACTTGCATTATGTATCTGAGTGCTCCTGTACTGTATGCATATATGTTTAGAACAGTTAGCTCTTGTTGTATTGATGCTTTTACCATTATGTAATGCCCTTCTTTGTTTCTTTTGATTTTTGTTGGTTTAAAGTCCATTTTATCTGAGACTAGCTTTGCCATCCCTGCTTTTTTTGCTCTCCATTTGCTTGGTAAATCTTCTTCCATCCCTTTATTTTGAGTCTATGTGTGTCTTTGCATGTGAGATGGGTCTCCTGAATACAGCACACCGATGGCTCTTGTCTTTTTATCCAATTTGCCACTCTGTGTCTTTTGATTGGGACATTTAGTCCATTTACATTTAATGTTAATATTGTTATGTGTGAATTTGATCCTACCATTTTGTTACTGGTTGGTTGTTTTGCCCTTTGGTTGGCATAATTTTTTCATTGCATCATTGATCTTTACCATTTGGTTCTTTTTTGCAGTGGTTGATACTGGTTTTTCTTTTCTGTGTTTAGTGCTTCCTTCAGGAGCTCTTTAGGGCAGGTCTGATATTGATGAAATCTCTCGGCAATATCTTGTCCATAAAGGATTTTATTTTTCCTTCACTTTTGAAGCTTAATATGGCTGGATATGAAATTCTGGGTTGAAAGTTCTTTTCTTTAAGGATGTTGAATATTGGCCCTCGCTTTTCTGGCTTGTAGGGTTTCTGCTGAGAGATCTGCTGTGAGTCTGATGGGCTTCCCTTTGTGGGTGACCTGACCTCTCCTTCTCTGGCTGCTCTTAGCATTTTTTCCTTCATTTCAACCCTGGCGAACCTCATGATTATTTGCCTTGGGGTTGCTCTTCTAGAGGAGTATCATTGTGGTGTTTTCTGTATTTCCTGTATTTGAATGTTGGCCTGCCTTGCTAGGCTGGGGAAGTTCTCCTGGATAATACCCTGAAGAGAGTTTTCCAGCTTGGATTCATTCTCCCCGTCTTCTTTCAGTACACTGATCAAGTGTAGATTCCACATAATCCCATATTTCTTGGAGGATTTCTTAATTTATTTTCACACTTTTTCCTCTTTGCTTGCCTTCCTATTTCATTTCATTGATTTGATCTTCAATCTTTGATATCCTTTCTTCTGCTTTATCTATTTGGCTATTGAAACTTGTGTATGCTTCATGAAGTTCTCATGCTGTGTTTTTCAGCTCCATCAAGTCATTTATGTTCTTCACTAAGCTGGTTATTCTAGTTAGCATTTCATCAAACCTTTTTTTCAAGGTTTTTAGTTTCTTTGCGTTGGATTAGAACATGTTCCTTTAACTCAGAGAATTTTGTTATTACCCACTTTCTGAAGCCTGCTTCTGTCAGTTCATCAAATTCGTTCTCCACCCTGCTTTGTTCCCTTGCTGGTGAGGAGTTATGATCTCATGGTGGTGGAGAGACATTCTGGTTTTTGATATTTTCATCCTTCTTGCACTGGTTTCTTCCCATCTTGTTGGATTTATACAGTATAGGTTTGATCTCAGGTAGCTGCTTGGGGAGGCAGCCTTTCCTTTGTCTGCCTGCAGAGGTGCTGTTGGGCTGCCACAGATTCAGTGGAGCTACTGTGTATTTTTCCTGTCTTATATTTGCTCAGGAAAATTAGGACAGCTTCTGCAATGGCAGCTGCCCTTCCCCCATGCTGAGCTCGTTCATTCCTGGTCACTCTCTAACTGATGTTCTGTATGCGAAACTCTGAAGTGAGTTTTTTTAGCCTGGGGCTTTGTGGGTGGAGGCCCGTCCTGCCATATGGCCTGTTTCTCTGGGTTCAGTTTCCCTTCTTTCTGGGGGAGGGGGGGCGGGTAGCTCTGTCCCACCAGCTTTTTGGCTTGCTCAGTGTCAGCCAGTGCTTCCACCTAGATCTATGCTGACAGCCCCAGCACCAGCCAAAGTTGCTGTTCTGCCCTGTTCATGCAGCTTGCTGAGGCTTTTCCACCCGGCAAAGATCTCCTGTTCTGTGGGTTGTAGAGGGCTTGGGTGGAGGGCTGTGTCTGAACTGAAGTCCCAGAGGAAGAGATCCCCCAGTCCTCCAGTCAGTTGCTTGCACCACCTGGGTCGGGCAGTGCTCCACCTTGCCTCAACTTGCCCTATTTGGTTTATATTCACTGTCCAATCAGACCCACAAAATGAACCTGGTACCCCATTTGGAATTGTGGACACCACTCAGCTTCTGCGTCTCTCTCCCTGGGAGCTGTGTTCCAGAGCTGCCTCTTATTCAGCCATCTTGGGACCTCCTCCTAATTTTTTTATGTCTTATGAGATGATGATAGATTTTTCTCTTTCTCTAACTATTGAATAATCTTTATATTCCTAGAATAAACCAAACATGGTTATAATATATTTTGGTTGTTGATAATGTATTTAAAATTTTTTATAGACATTCGTAAGACTGATTTTGCTTTTTTCTTTTATTTCTGGTTTTGAGTGGTTAAAGAAAAGGCTTGTGCTTTAACCATTATAAGTTAAATTAAACCACTTCCTTACAAAAGAAACACAAGATAATGAAAGTGTTATTTTCTCTGTTATTCAGAATCTTAATATGCCTCAAGAACATACTGTGAAGGTCACCCTGTGGTGCTTATGAGAAATAATTGAGTCCAAGTTGAATTTCAAATGCCTTCCATACTTTTTTTCCCTAATGTTTTCTGATAATTATTTTTTAAGTTTTAAAATAAATATATAGTATTTTTAACACACATGTTTGATTTCTTGGAATTTATTGCTTATCATAAATATATCAAAAATTCAAAAATAATCTGAGAAATGTGAAGTATTCATTAAATAAATTCTGTTACATTTTATTTTAATATTTTTGACAACGTTATAAAAAGAGAAAACTTGCAAACTATTTATCTAAAGTATCATTCTATAGGGTTCATCACGTGCTTTCTTGACAGGGCTTGACAACTTCAAATGTAATTTCTCTGTTTTCTCAGGTTTAAGGGGTATTTAGAATATAAATTTCAGCATTAACAATGCAATTTGTTGAACAATAAGAATAATTTCAGTTATGACAAAGAATTCTTAACAATTACTGTGATAGATTTGCATAAATTACCTGAATCCTCTGGAAGAGACTCTCTACTGTCTGTCCAATGATAGCAGTTTCTTCAGTAATAGTCATTGAATTGGCACTCTTATCTTGAACCTAGCAGCGTAGGTATATGAAAAATAAAACAGTTCTTAAAAGTTTACCATGTAATAGGAAGATGAAATACTATTCATTTCTTAAGAAGGATTTTAGGTTTTTTAAATTAAAATTGTAGGATACCTGAAGCCATATGGAGTTCTGGTTCATCCTTAGAAAATGAAAAAGCCTCGAAGGATTTGTAAATGTTATGTTAATTATTAATTAGAAAGTGTATATTTATGTGGATATCATGCATTATCTATAAATGAATGTGCATATACATGAGTGTGTGGGTCTGTGGTTGAAAAATTATTTGGTGTGTAGATTAAAATTCTTTCTACCAGTTAATAATGTTAAATATTAGCAGTTTCTTAAGATTTGATATGATATGTATCATAGCTTCTGACCATTCAGAGTGTTATCATTATTAAATAAATGTATATGTTTTTCTATCTACTTAGCCTTCATGCTTTTGATTGCCTAATAACCTTTGAAGCCCAAAACTAATATTTTGTACAATCCTATTACTACAAATGCTATTTTATTACTTCCCGGAAACACTTTTCTAAACTAATTCATGTGATTAATGTCTCAGATTATTCAGTGATGTTGCACTGGTATAAAATCTTACTGGGAATATCTGGAACCATGAATGGTGTTCTGGCTTTGACTTTGATTTCTCTGATCCTGTTGGGTAAGTTAGAAGATCCTAATTTCATAAAAATATGAAAGATGTTGGCTTGTCTCTCACAAATCATTTTATAATAATTCATTCTTCATTACATTAACCAAGATTGAATTAGAAGCTACTGCATGTAAAACTCTATTAGTACACTCCACAGTGCTGTGTTAAATATGTAGTAAAACCAGGTAAGTATCCTGTTCTCAAGTGGTATACAGTCTAACACAGAGAAAAGTGTGTGTGTATGTGTGTGTGTGGTATTTGAAACCATTATTCTGTGTTTCTTAGATACTCATCATAGATATAATTTTACTGTTTTAAATATTTTAATACATTTTATCAAAAGTTGTATTTAGTTTGCATTTCCTTTTGGCCAACAAATATTTACTGTGCAATTATAACACTCTAAATATTATTACAAATTCCCCAATTTTTAAAAAACAAAGAATAGCTAGAGTGAGGAATGTATATTCCAGAGGGGGAAGCAGGTATTAAGTAATTATGGTACAATGCACTGAATACAGTATTGAAGGTTGCAGTTAAACATTAAGAAAGGATGAAAAGAGCCTATATACTTCCAAGAGACGAAACATTGCTTTATTCACTATTGTATTACCAGTTCACAGGAATGTGTTCTCACCAAATATGTGTTGTATAAATAAATTTATTGTGTAGTATTGTGAATTCTTTTCATCAGTAGACATAAAAATTTTAAAAAGATCCTAGTGACTCCTTTGATTATTTCTTGTTAAATCATCAGAATAATTCCAATGAATGTGTCTCTGAGACATTCCATAGAGAAGATATTTACCTAATCTTAAAATTGTCCTGTATTCAAGTTTCTCAGGGAATATTGCTAAAATGCCCAAAAGGAAGTCATTCAAATATCACCCAGTGTGAGGATACTGGAGACCTAAAAGTGAATAATGGCACAAGAAGAAATATAAGTAATAAGGACCTTTGTATTTTGAGATCTACAGACCAGACAGGTATGTCTCAGGCTTTGGCTTATCCTAATTTTAATCTTTTGGACTCTTTAAATGTGAAGTCTTATTGAACAGGTATGAAATAGATTATACTAACAAGTAAATATTTGGTATAAATCTACTTTTATTTTATTTTTTATACTTTAAGTTCCAGGGTACATGTGCAGAATGTGCAAGTTTGTTGCACAAGTGTACACATGCCATGGTGGTTTGCTGCATCCATTCCCCTGTCATCTACATTAGATATTTCTCCTAATGTTATCCCTCCCAAATTCCATATCTTTAAACTTGTTGCAGTGGGATAAGAATTCTAAAACAACATAAGAAATAGGCTCTGCCCTCCAGGAGGTTAAAATCAAGTTGATACATATAAATATGGAAAGTTAGTTATTGAAAAGCAGTATGTAAATAGCCATTCTTGTTTGTCACTTATTTATTCTTCTTTTTCTGAAATACAAACTGGATAAAAGTCAATATTTAAAAAATTGTTAGCTGGGCGCGGTGGCTCAAGCCTGTAATCCCAGCACTTTGGGAGGCCGAGGCGGGTGGATCACGAGGTCAAGAGAACATGGTGAAACCCCGTCTCTACTAAAACTACAAAAAATTAGCTGGGCATGGTGGTGCGTGCCTGTAGTCCCAGCTACTCAGGAGGCTGAGGCAGGAGAATTGCCTGAACCCAGGAGGCGGAGGTTGCGGTGAGCCGAGATCAGGCCATTGCACTCCAGCCTGGGTAACAAGAGCGAAACTCCGTCTCAAAAAAATAAATAAATAAATAAATAAATAAAATAAAAAAATAAAAAATAAAAAATTATTTGTTATGATATTAAACTTAGACTTTTAAGCTTAGAAATCCCAGTCATACAGAATCATTTTGAAAACATAACCTTATATTTCTAAACATCTAAGTTTAACTTTTTAATACTTACCTCGGAGAATTTTGACTTCATTTTATTGTATGAGATAATATTTTATGACTTTCCAGAGAAATGTATAATTACTATCAAAGGATTTTTTTCTAATCTACTGGCTTGTATTGTTTCCTTTATAATATGTAAAAATTTGATATATTTTATCTTCTACTTATTCACACTCTCTTTACTTGGCCTATACATATATAAGTCCCAAACCAATTGAAATATTGTAGCTTAAACTCATATTTTATTGTCTCTCTATCTGTAATATCTGTCATTATGTTCGGTATCATTGCAATGACACCTTAGAAAAGGTAAGGCAGCTTTAGAGGTAAACATGGGATCATATACATGTCATTAAACACTAATTAAAGTAGGTATAAATACCATATATTAACTATAATATATTTATTTCATATTCCTTTTGATTTTTTAACTGAGGTACAATTCAAAACGTTGAACCTTTCAAAGTAAATAATTTTATGATGTTTAGAACATTCAAACATTGTGCAACTAACATGTTTATCTAGTTGAAAAACTTTTCCCAGAAAGAAATCCTTTACATACCCACTTGGCAAATCAGTCTCCATTCTCCCTCCCCCTAACCTCTGACAACTACAAATCTTCTTTCAGTTTGTATGGATTTACCTATTCTGGATTTTCATGTAATAGAATCACACAATATTTGGCCTTTGGCTTCTTTCACTTAGCATGATATTTTTAAAGATCATCCATGTTTTATTCCTTTTCATGGCTGAATAATAGTCCATTGTATGTGTATATCTATAAATATACATATGTATATATTTATATGTATCTATATACCTATAAATATTTGTAGTTAGATGTATATCTGTAAATATAGATAAGCACAATGTTTGTGTGTGCAGAGCCTAAAGGTCAGCCAGAGGTGAGATCTTAGGACATTTTCAGGTAATTTCTGAGCATGCACTCAGCGCAGGGCTTGTGCCCGGCCTTCCAGATTTTCAGGATTATGTAGGAGCTTTTCAAAGTCCTTATTCACTGAAACAGCTCCCCAGCTTTTCCCCTCACGCTTTTCAATTAGTCTATTGTTTGTTCCAACTGTTATACCTTGCCTCAGGTGGCAAAAACTAACACATTGGTCTTTGTTGCTACAAACTTGCTTTGGTAGCCTCGTGGCAGATACCTAAGTCTTCTTTACTGGCAGTGATATCTACTGCTAAAACAATTCAAGAGTCCATGGATGCTCTGGATTTCATAGAAACTCACGAAGGACTCAGTTAAATGCCTGCTAATTCTACAAATAACACCTCACCTGACTTGAACCAAAATTACTACTGATAGCAAGGCTACCTCTTTGCTAGGCCATACAAACCATCTATAGCCAGGCTCCTGCTTCAGGGTGAGCCCTGAGAACAAGAGAGTTTATATTGGACCCCAAAAGACAAGTGGGTCGCAGGTTGGATAATCTCTGGTAAATTGATCAAACAATTACAATACTTACTAGGGTTAGGTGACAACAGTGACAATCTTCTCCTTAGCTTCTGGAGGCAGTCTTTCCTTCTGCTCCTGCCTCTATATCCAGGAGTGGCAGGATCCCGCTCCCACACAGGGATATAGTGAGCATGGAAGCAGGCCTCTTCTAGTAGACATTCGCTCTTTTACCACATTAATTGAGGTTGAGTCTCCAAAAAATAAACAATTCTGACTGACTCTGTTAGACACAAAGGCCCAAATTCCCCTTTTTTCCATAAGTTAAAGGGATTTTTCTGGTAGGTGACTAGCTTTGCGGGAAGGTAAATTAAAGGGGCAATTCCCTGCTCAGATATTAAAACTGGCCCCATTTTGCTAAAAGATGCTTTCATCCTGGTTGTCCCTCAACACTATTCCTTTATGCACCCTTGGAATGGACCTTCTCAGTCAGCATGTGATCTCAGGGAAAGCTTTTACGCTATTGTCAGGCACCACGTGGTGGAAAACCGTTAATCTCCCCACCAGTGTGAGTGGTAAATACTCCAAGATACCAAGCAAGGCAAAGCACTGCAAGACAGTGGTCTGTTATAGCTGACTTTGGCAAAGGAATTCTAGTCTTTACCTTGTTGCTTTTTTTCTTTCTCTTTTTTTAATTGTACTTTAGGTTCTGGGGTACATGTGCAGATCATGCAGGATTGTTGCATATGTACACACGTGGCAATGTGGTTTGCTGCCTTCATTCCCATGTCACCTATATCTGGCATTTCTCCCCATGTTATCCCTCCCCAACCTCCCTACACCCACACTGTCCCTCCCTTGCCCCCCCCAACAGACCCCAGTGTGTGATGCTCCCCTCCCTGTGTCCCTATGTTCTCATTGTTCAACATCCACCTATGAGTGAGAACAGCCATGTTGCTTTTTAACTTCCTGGTATGGCCTATGTTTTAAGCCACTACTAGAGAGTGAAGGCTAACTATAGACTACAGAGAAATAAGAAAAAATATTCCTTTTATTAGAGCACCTCTATTGGATAATTGCTTTAATGAATGGCCTTCAAAACAACATGGGTAAATGGTTTGGGTACAGACTTAGCTAACATGTTCCATTGAGTAAAAATTTTGCAGGAGAATCAATCACAATTTGCCTCCATTTTTACTTGGTTGTTGCTATGGACAGAATTGTGCCCTCCCCCAAATTTATATGTTAAAACTCTAACCTCCAAGGTGATGGCATTTGGTGATGGGATCTTTAGGAGGTAATTAGGTTTAGATGATGTCAGGAGGATGTGTCTTACTCAGTTTGGGCTGCTGCAGCAAATTACCCTAAACTAGGTGGCTTATAAACAGCAGATATTTATTCCTCGCAGTTGTAAAGACTGGAAGTCTGAGATCACGGTGCCAGTATGCTTGGGTTCCGGTGAGGGCCCTCTTCTCTGTTGGTGACTGCCAGCTTCTTATTGTAATCTCTCATGGCAGAGAGCAGAATGACTCAAGTTATCTCAGGACTCTTAAGGGTACTAATCCCATTCTGACCCTCATCTATTCTTAGCTCCCAAATACCTACCTCCTAATACCATCATATTGGGAGGTAGGATTTCAGCATATGAATTTTGGGGTATGCAAACATTCAGTTCATAAAGTTTTACCTCCGACTTCCAAAATTCATGTCCTTTCACATGTTAAATGGAAAAGACAACACATCAAAAGAGAAAGATATATTTGTAAATTTTGTATCAGATAGGGGTATTTCATTCAGAACATATAAAGAACACTTATAACTCAAAAACACAATCCAATTTAAAAATAAGCAAAGGACATGAATAGACATGTCTTACAAAAACACTGTACAAAAGGCCAATAAGCACTTGAAAAGATGTTTAATATGATTAGTCATTAGGGAAACGTGAAATCAAAATCATGGTGGAAAGCCACTGCATACCCACCAGGATGGCTATAATCACACAAAAAGAGCAAGTGTTTTTGGGGATATGAAGAAATCGCTCATATATTGCTGGTAGGAATGTAAAATTGTATAGTACTGCGGAAAACAGTTTGACAGTTCCTCAAATTATCACATGACCCAACATTCGACTTTTAGGTATATATCCAATAAAATGGAAGACACATGTCTTTACAAAATTTTGTACGTGAATGTTTATAGTAACAATATTCATAATAGCTGAAAGTGGAAGCAGCTCAGTTGTCCATCAGCTGATGAGGGGATAAACAAAATGCACCACATACATGTTATGAAATATTCTTACAGCCATAAAATAGAGTGTAGTACTGATGTATCCTACAACTTTTCTGCACCTTGAAGCATTGTGGTGAATGAATGAAAAAGCCAGATACAAAAGGCCACATATTGTATGATTTCATTTACATGAAAACTCTGTCACAGTCAAATCCATAGAGACATAAAGCAGGCTAGTGGTTTCCATGGCTATGGGATTAGAAGAGGAATAGTGACTACTTCATGCTTATATGCAATGAAAATGCTCTAGCATGAGATAGTAGTGATAGTTGTACAACACTGTGAGTGTGTTAAAAGCCACTGCATTTATACTTTAAAATGGCTAAAATAGTGAATTTTGTGTTACATGAAGAAAATTAATCTTGATTAAAAATAAATAATTTAAAAAGAGAGAGATTGTAATGGGCCATAAGTTAAAATAGTTATATTGATATTTATGTATATTTTTATATATACCTCACTTTTTCTCAATACTATGCCAAAAAATCTCAATATTTTCCATTTAATTTAATTTAACTTAATTTTAATTTAGGAAAATCAAAGAACTTCATAATATTGCAGGTATAAAGAGGTTGAAAATAAAAAGGATGAAAATAAATTATCACTCTTGATATTGTTTAATCATTTAATTATTAATTATTTAATATTAAGAGGGAGAAGGGAATACACATACAAAACTATAGGGAGAGCGATTTTAGAACTCTGTCTTTAATTTGTATTTCCTCTAATGATCAATGATGTTAACCACGATGAGGTACCAACTCAAACCAGTCAGAATGGCTATTATTAAAAGTCAAAAAACATGCTAGTGAGGATGTGGAGAAAAAGGAATGTTTATACACTGTTGGTGGAAATGTAAATTGGTTCAGCCCTTATGGAAGACTGTGTGGCAATTCCTCAAAGACGTAAAGAAATACCATTCGACCCAGCAATTCCATTACTGGGTATATACGCAAAGGAATGTAAATAATTGTGTTATAAAGACATAAGCGTATATATGTTCATTGCAGCACTATTCACTACAGAAAAAAACACGGAATCAACCTAAATTCCCATCAATAGTAGACTGGATAAAGAAAATGTTGTACATATACACCATGGAATATTGTGCAGTCATAAAAAAAGATCGTTTCTTTTCAGGGACGGGGATGGAGCTGGAGGCTATTATCCTTAACAAACTAATGCAGGAGCAGAAAGCCAAATATCGCATGTTCTCACTTATAAGTGGGAGCTAAATGATGAGAACACACAGAGGGAAACAACACACACTGGGGCCTACTTGAGGGTGGAGGGTAGGAGGAGGGAGAAAATAAAGAAAAATAACTAATGAGTACTGGCCATAATACCTGGATGTTGCAATAATCTGTACATAAAACACGTATGACACAAATTTACCTATGTATCAAACCTACATGTGTACCCCTGAACTTAAAAGTTAAAAAAACAACTTTGTGCGGATAAATTCTAAGTGATACAAATTATATTTTATCTAATATCTCAAACAGCATTAATGCAACATATATTTTAATTTGTTCGTGCTATTCTAGTCAATATAATAGATCTTGGCATAAAAAAATCCCATTATGTCGGCCCGCGCAGGCCCCTGGGCGGCGGCAGGGCGGAGGAGCGCAGGAGAGGGGGCCAGGCCACCGCGCGGAGGCGGAGCGGGCCGCGGTCAGGCGCTTGTCCCCCTGGCGGCGCGGCGCTTGTCCCCCTGGCTGCCCGGCGCTTGTCCCCCTGGCTGCCCGGCGCTTGTCCCCCTGGCTGCCCGACGCGCCCCGGCAGCCGCAGTGAGCGGCTCCTCAGGCACCCGGTATCTGGGCAGCAAGATCAGCCGCATCTCCAAGGCGCAGAGCCGCTACGAGGGCATCCTCTGCACCATCGACACCGACAGCTCCACCGTGGCGCTCGCCAAAGTGAGACCGTCCCACAGATAGGCCTGCTCCCCCCCGAGAAGAGATTTGTGAGTGCATCATTTTCCGGGAAGTGACATCAAAGAGATCACTGCGTGTGAACCTCCGACAGCGCAGCACACCCTCTCGCAGGATCCCGCCGCTGTTCGTCTTCCCCGCGCTCTGCTTCTTCCCGCCCTCCCAGCCCTTTCCGAGGGATGGCGCCCTGTGGCCCGTGGCGGCCGGCTCCTGCTCAGCCAGCAGTAGGCCGCCTCCCTGGGTCTAGAGAAGGTGGTAAGCCCTCCGGCCTCGGCCGCCGCTTCCAGCCCTGGCTCTTCTCCATCTCCACAGCCCGTTTCAGAGCTTGACTTGTCCTCAGAGCCACAGCAGCTCACCGCCAAGGGAGCTGGTTTTCCGCCCATCCCAGTCGGCAAGAGGCTCATGGTGGAGCAGGGCGTCCAGACTGGTTCTGCTGATAACCTGAATGTAAAAGGCTGTTGTTACCTGGCAAGGGCACCACAGGGACGCAGCTCCATGGTCGTCAGGCACCCCCGAGCTGCAAGACCACCGGCGATGTAGTCCAGCCGGCAGCTGTGCAAACTCAAGGGCAGATGAACGACGAGAACAGAAGACCTCAGAGGAGGCGACCAGGAAACAGGCGAACGAGGAATCGCTCCAGAGGGCAAAGCCGTCCAGCTAAGGTCAAGGAAAACACAATCAAATTTGAGGGCGACTTTGATTTTGAGAGTGCAAATGCCCAGTTCAACCGAGAGGAGCTTGACAAAGAGTTTACGAAGACACTGAATTTTAAAGATGACAAGGCTGGGAAGGGGGAAGAGAAGGACCCAGCTGTGGTGGCCCAGAGCGAAGAAACGCCGGCCGAGGAAGGCCTTCTGGGGCCCAACTGCTACTGTGACAAATCCAAGCCGTTCTTTGACAACCTCTCTTCTGAACTCAAGACCAGCTCCAGGCTGACAACGTGGGCCGAAGGGAGGAAGCTCAACACGGAGACCTTGGGGGTGTCTGGGAGGTTTCTTCATGGCCGCAGTTCTCGGGGTGGATTCCGAGGAGGCAGGGGCAATGGGACCACCCGTGGCAACCCCACTTCCCACAGAGCTGGAACTGGCAGGGCGTGAAGATGTAGTCATAGGCTCCTGCTGAAGAGGCGCAGAAATGATTCCCTGTGTCAGCACACAAGGAAAACGCTCCACTTACAAGGAGATGTGGTCACCTTGTTTACAGAGTTTGGAAGATTCCCATACTGCTACTTATGTTTTGGACTTAACTTGGACACGGTCTCAGTTAGAACCACTTGTTTTGGGGAAGTATTCATGGGTAAACCTCTTTGAAGTGTCTTTACCTATGTTTCCTTTAGTTGCACATAGCCTAATTCCAAGGTTTCTGTATTTTGCAAAAAGGTTTCTATAGCGAAAGCTGAATCCTTATTTTGTGATTTTTTTTTTTTTTAATGACAGCTTTGACTTTTCAAAGTGAAACCAAATCTCATTTGGCAGATGTGGCAGCCAAGTGCATCTCTGTAACCCTGGCCCCCGGTACTGCTGGCCTGGCACCCCCACTGCCAAGGGTGGGGTCTCAGGAGTCAGGCACGGCCAGCACAGGTGTGGGAGGAGGTGGGTGGGTGAAGGGCACAGAAGGGGTTGTGCTATGGATCATGTTGTGTAAGTGCACCAGACCACCCTGATGACACCCACAGTAATGTTGTCAAGGTTGGGACTGGCCAGGGGTAGGTGGATTAGAAGCACCTGGGAGTAGTGGCCAGTGGCCCCAGATGCGAGCCACGGAGCTGCTGTACAGAGCCTCGTGTCCGTAAGCTTCTGGGTCGCAGTTGGAGCTTAGGATGAGCCCCTGTGGCGCCTTGGCCCTTCTGTGGTCCCTGCCAGGCTCTGACCTGTGCCAGTCAGTCATTGCTGGACTCTGGCCACACACTTTGGTGTTCTCATCTACTTGGAAATGAGCCAGTCTTTTTTGCAAGGTCAGTTGACCAAGAGCATATTTCCCCTTTGTTGTACATCGTTCTTTTGTGTTTCTGTTTTAAAGGTGGGTGGAGGGAGGGCAGGGTCCACATTTGAGGTCTACATTTGTTGCATGAGTCGATGGGTCAGAACTTTAATATACGCATGCATCCTGAGTGACAGGTCATTTTGTTGAACATAAGCACCTTGGTAACTAAACCCTTCTAATAGCTACAAAAGCTTTAGTTCTGTATTGATTAAGTTACTGTAAAAGCTTGGGTTTATTTTTGTAGGACTTCATGGCTAAGAATTAGAACATAGCAAGGGGGGATCCTCTGTTGGAGTAATGTAAATTATAATTATAAATAAACATGCAAACCTGAAAAAAAATCCCGTTAGGTCTAGGTTTCCCTTCATCTCGTTAAATTAATTGTCTTAGTCCTCAAACCTTATCATTTGTGTTTTGACCATCTTTTGAGTCTGGACAATTTGCTATGAATAATTTTACTGTAGCTCAACTCTTGTTCATACAACATATAAGTATTGTCCTCACTGCCAATTTTCAGAGATGCATATGTAATTTAGTTTCATTTTGTTTTCTACATTTCTCTGTAGTACTATGCCCATCAGAATGGCTCAAATACCAAGGAAAGTGTTATTGGTTCTCTAATGAGATGAAAAGTTGGAGTGACAGTTATGTGTATTGTTTGGAAAGAAAATCTCATCTGCTAATCATACAGGACCAACTTGAAATGGTAACTGGCCAGTATCAGGGTTATGGCATTAGCCTTTTTGCAGTTAAAAACAGCTTTCCTTAAATATCTTTCATCTTTGCATTAAGTCACCATTTACCTTGATTATCGAGTTTTGGGCACCCTTAAAATTGGGCATGCCTCACTTCTCATGCTAGATATGGCTTAAATTCATATATTCAACTTGCAATTGTGTGTGTGTGTGTAACATATATATGATATAATGTGTATATAAGCAAGGTATGAATTGATTTGCATAAGAATCCCCATGCAGAGTGCTATTTTTTTTTTGCAGTGAAATTTAAAATCTTCAGTGCCTCTGAATTGCTAAAATATTCTGCTCATTTAGTCCCTCATTGTCCACATTTCAGGCTTTTATACAGAAAAACCTAAGGCTATCAAACTACGTATGGATTGGGCTTAACTTTACCTTCTTGAAAATGACATGGACTTGGGTGGATGGTTCTCCAGTAGATCCAGAGATGTGAGTCTTTCATAAAAGGCGATCTGATTTATTGTCTATTGTAGAATATGTCTCCAGAATGCACCTCTAGGTCCACCAAATGCAACTCTGAAATAGTTACTGGTACTACAGAATTTGAAAGAATGAAAATTAATTTAGTATTTATAGAAGTAATGATGAATATTTTGATTTGGTTTTTAAAGAAAAAGGATTTGAAAACAATAATGGTGATTTATGATTTTAAAATTTCTTACACTTTATATGGAAAAGTAGATTGTTGCAGTCTCTCTTTTTTTTTTTAGATGGAGTCTTGTTCTGTCACCCAGGCTGGAGTGCAGTGGCATGATCTCAGCTCACTGCAACCTCTGCCTCCCGGGTTCAAGTAATTCTCTGCCTCAGCCTCCCAAGTAGCTGGGATTACCGGCATCCACCACTATGCCTAGCTAATTTTGTTGTATTTTTAGTAGAGACATGGTTTAACCACCTTGACCAGGCTGGTCTTGAACTCCTGACCTTGTGATCCACCCAGCTCGGCCCCCCAAAGTGCTAGGATTATAGGCATGAGCCACCACACCCAGCCGCAGTCTCCTATTTTTAAAGTTCCTAATGTTTTCTTTAGCCATCTTCAGTAATAAAATAAAACCAGTGTTCAATTTTTGTGTTATGTAATTATCATAATGTTAAAATACAAACAATAAATACAACATAGAACAAGATTATCCAAAAGTCTCTGAACAGATGCATGGAGTTATTGATTTTTAAAGTTCCATCAACATTTTTGTGTGCTTTATTTTATAATAAAATATTTAATTGAAAATATAAATAGTAAAACAGGTGAATTCAAAATCCTATTCCTACGTTAGTAGGCAAAATAATGGTCCCCAACTGTCCACATTCTACTCCAAAAATGTTGTGAATATGTTATTTTATATGGCAAAAGAGCCTTTGCAGGTATGATTAAATGAAGACTCTTGAGGTAGGGATATTATGCTGGATTATCTGTGTGGTCCCAATTAAATCACAAGGGTCCCTAGAAGAGGGAGGAAGTAGAATTAGAGTCAGATTGGGAGATATGAAGTGAAACACAGAGATTGACATGATGTGAAAGCACCTCTGTGAGCCAAAGCACGCAGGTGGCCTCTGATTCGTCCCTAGAGCACCCTGAAGGTGACTCTGCGGACACTTTGATTTTAGCCCTGTAGGGCAATCTTGGACTTCTGATATTCATAAGTGTAAGATAATAAATTAGACTTGTTTTAGGCCACTAAGTTTGTAGTAATTTGTTACAGTAGTGATAGAAAAATAATATATTATTGAATCAGCTTAATGGTGCTATTGTGTTGTTTTCCCCTTATATATTTTCTATCTGAGTGCACTAAGTCATATAGCAAGTGAATAAAAACATTATTTGAAATGAAGTATAAAATTATGGATGTCTGAGAGCAGAGTTGTGTCACTGAACATCATGAAGTTCACAAACTTGGTTTTGTCCTCATGCCAAATCCATTCATCACTGCCTTTAGGGTTGAGTTTTAACTCTAGATCATGCCTAGAAATTTTTGTCCATAATGTTTTCAATACAAAATTTAAATCTAAACTCGGACAAAGTGCCTTTTCTAATGTGAAAAATCAGTACTTGTCCTTATCAATTTGGAAGCTTTGAAGACCATGCACACCTTTTCCAAGGTTCTTTCTTGAACTTTTTCCACAGGTCAAACAAATTTATCACAGAATATATCATTAACACTAAATTATTTTATAGATAACTTTGTTAACATTTTTAATATGTTACATTATAAGTAAATAATGCAATAAATATGCAATTTATTATTTAAGTCGTACATAGGTCAATTTGTATATTGAGTTATTTACAAACATCAATTCATATAACGGCTGTAACAATATCATGAAGTATTATTATCATCCTTATGCAATCAGAGATAAGAAAGCAAAAGAGGCTGTTAAGTGAGCTGTCCAAATGGAGTTAATCTTATTTTTTAATCTAACTGAACCATGTGGGCCAAGAAAAGGAATACTCGAATGGGAACGTGGAGGGAAATTTGTAAAAATGCTTTAAAATTTTGAATTACTTTTTTATTTAAAAGAGGATATTAGCAGAAGACACAAATGGATGTCTTCAGCAACAATGATTAACAAAGTATTTATTCTCTCTTCTCCAGATTCTTCATAAAGGGACCAGCTAAGAAAAACAGCTGTGCTGCCATTAAGGCAAGCAAAATTTACTCTGAAGCCTGCAGCAGTGTTTTCAAATGGATTTGCCAGTATTAGAGTTTGACAAAATTCATAGTGAAATAATCAATGATCACTATTTTTGGCCTATTAGTTTCTAACATTAATTTCCAGGTGTAACATTTTAAAGTGCAGTTAAATGCAAAAATCTCTTCTCCCTTCTCCCTCCATCATTGACATTAGTCTAACCTCAGAGTAACCCCTGTTAACAAATTAAAATGTACCCTTCAAAATTTTTACTTGACAGTATAAACCAATATGACTTCATGTAATTATATCCAGGATACCTATTCATTGTTTATTTTATGCCAAATGTGATCAAATGATGCCTGTTTTTCCTGTATCTTGGCTTTTTAAATTCTTAATAATGTCCCAAGCAAAATTTCTTGTATTTCTAAGGGCTGAATTATAATGTGGATTTATGCATTTCTTACCCTTTTATCAAAGAGAATTAATTTTGTTTCCTGGCTTATGCTACTCTGCACTTGGCTACAATAAACATCGTGAATATTTTCTTAAATAGTAGCACCTTTATTTCTATGATATAAACCCTAAAAGTAGAATTTCTAGGTAAAAGTGTTAAATGTGTTGTTTGTTTTATATTTTATACAATTTTTATATGTTGCACTTTTATTTCCAAATTTAGAAGCTTTCAAACTTATAGGAAGATATTAGGTGCAGAAAAAGAATATACTGCTTTTCTTGAACTCTTCAGAATTAGCTGCCAAATTGAGGCATTTTATTATAACATTCCATTTGTTATTTACTTTTTGTGTGTTTCCATCGGAATAGGGGCCTTCTCCTACATATCCACAATAACATTATAAAAATCAGCAAATGTACATTGATATAGAACTATCATCTAATGCCCAGACTTCCTTCAAGGTTTGCTATTTATCAAAATAATATTTTTTAGAATAAAAGCATCCCACTCAGAATCAATGTCTGCATTTGGTGACTATATCTCTTTCCTCCTTCAATATAGAAGAGTGCCTGAGCCTTCCTTGACATTCATGACCTTGACGCTTTTGAATACTGCACATTGGTTATTTCTTCAGCTGAAATTTTCTGATTGTTTCTCATGGTGAGATTCAAGTTGTATCTTCTTGGCAGAAATTGCATAGAGGTGACGCAGTGAAGCTTTGTTCTAGCTGCATCCTTTCAGGTGGCACACAGCTTTATTTGTTCCATTAATGATTACACTTATTTTATTCACACGATTGATACCATTTCTACTTGAATTCACTGTAAAGTTATTATTTTCTCATTGTAGTTAATTCATATTTGGGGGAGTGACTGAGAAGGCCTTAATATTCCCTTCAGCTTGGGGCTAAATTCTTTTTTTTTTTTTGAGACAGGATTTCGCTCTTTCACCCAGGCTGGAGTGCAATGGCATGATCTTAGCACACTGCAACCTCTGCATCCTGGGCTCAAATGATCCTCCTGCCTCAGCTTCTCAAGTAGCTGGAACTGCAGGCATGCACTAGCATGCTTGGCTAATTTTTATATTTTTTGTAGAGATGGGGTTTCACCATGTTGCCCAAACTGGTCTTGAACTCCTGGACTCAAGCAATCTGGACACCTCGGCCTCCCAAAGTACTGGGATTACTGGCATAAATCACTGAGCCTGGCCTTGTGGGTAATTTCTAAACAGATTTCTTCTCAACTGTAGGTCCCTAGCCTCCCTTTTCTTAGAGCATTTACTTTAGCAAACTTATAATTGTAAATGTTTACTCTGCCCCTTTGACATATCAAACTTTTAAAAATCCTCTAACAGATTTTATAACCCGGGAATGTCTTTCTAAAGAACCTGGGAGCCACCCTTTTGAAATGTGTTTCCCAGGGATGTTAGAGCCCCTATTTTCCAGTCTCTGTGGGAGGGTAGGAGCCTAATTTCAATGGGACACCTTGCTTCACTTTATAAAACTACCACCTGTCCCAGGATTTGTCAATGTCAAATAAAATATAGAGATGAATCTCTAGGTTTAAAATGTTTTGATTAGAAAGTAAGAATTGTAAATTGGGGCACATATAGCAACTGATAGTCTTAAGTATATCCAAAGAACAAAGAGAAGGGTGGAGGTTTTATTAAAAGGAGAAATGTTATGTATTGCTTTGAAAGAAAGCATATTGGCCCTAGTAAAATTTTGGAGAGCTGGCAAGTTCTGCTTGGTGAATGACAGTAGTAGGTGAAAGTAGTCTTAGAATCACAGTAGGTTATTTTAGTAGCTATTGGAAAAACTGGTTTTAGGATACACCAGGCAGTTTTAGCAGCCAGGCTTATAGAAAATTAAATTTTTGGAGCAATGATACATACCTTGAGTGCTTTTTCCCCCCCCCGGTCTGTCTACTCTGCTTTGGTTGAGTATGACAAAATGACCTAATTTGTATTATCAACTTTTACATTTTTCTCTTTTATTCAAGGTCTCTTTCTGAACGCATTGTTAGTCAACCATTTTGAAGTTAGGCTTAATTGCCTCTGGTGCCAGGATAGACCTGTCTTGGTTGTCTCTGTCTCACATGAGAGGAAGGTGTGAAAGTCTATCTCAGAGATCTGGCCCATGTTTGCTCAACAGAAAGACCAAAGGAAAAAAAAAGTTTGTTTGGAGTCTAGCATCAAGTTTTATGATTATTTTAACACTTTGATTGGCATCAGCAATCATCTCAAAGCATTGGGCCAATGTTTCGTTGGGGCAGATGGCTTCACAATGATTTAATATGAAATAAGAATAAAGCTTAAAAATCATAATATAACAATAATTAACAACAATGTAACAAGTTTAATTTTTACAATGCTTTCAAATTAAAACTGGAGAAATCCAAAGATGTGAGGCCTGTCTGTAGTCACAGAGTAGCATTTTGTGATTGGGTTGAATTAAACCAGAGAATGTCACCTTTGTAAGAGGGACTACAGATGCAATTTGAAGAAAAAGTTGTGTTAGGAATATTGTCAAAGATATTCACTAGATTTACTAAAAGGATTTCTTAGGTCAGGTTTTGTCAACTTATCTAAAACAGTTACTAATTGTGAATTTTAATTACTGTGTTTTCTTGCCAAATGAAAAACCTTAAGGAGGAAAGCGTGTAGCGTTTTGCTCCTCACGGTGTGGGGTTTTGTTCCAATATATTGGGAAAAGCTGATGACAGCATGAAAACAATCAACTTTTCATCCCGGTTTATAGTTTGAATGTCTCTGATTATGGCATATGGTGGTTTGGTAAACTTTTTGTGTGATCCATACATTAGGCACAAGATGTGTTTTTAAAACTAGTTTCAGCTTGTTGGGATTTAGAAACAGAGAAGTTCTCATTTTTTTACTTTGATGTAAGAAAGTTGGATTAGAGGAATGTAGAATAATTTATGGCTTTGTCTAGTTTAGAGATGGATAACAAGCACTCAGAAACAATGTACAGAGTTATGATCTAACAACAGATGTATTACAGTTTTTTTCTAGAAACTTACTTTTTTTCTACATTGATTATACAGAAATATCAGATTTTAAAACCTCTTGAGGCTGGAAAGCCAAACTAAGGCAAACTTTAGATTTTATTTATAGTTTTATGTCTTTGGGACTCCTAGGAAGTAAGTTTTTATATACTCATTGTAAGGCTGTGAACCTTCAAAGTTAAGCATGTTATGGATATTGTTAAGTATGACATTTCAGACAAAGCCTTAGTAATGTAACCTATGTTTTTAATTATATTCTGCTATTAAGAGACAGCAGAATTTTATTGGACTTATGTAAATAACTTTACATAAATAACCGTATTGACATAAGAATACTAAAAAGTACATTTAAAAATTTTCAGGAATCAAGTAAGGAGAAAAAATAGCAAATACTTTTATCTTTTTTCACAAAAGTATATTTTACCAAATTACTGTAAATTATAGATAGCTCAAGAGAGAAACTTTCTTTATACCTGAAAGACAAAACATTTGAGTAAAAACAACCTTTCAAATAAATGACATAAGAACATTATCAGTTCTAATGTTCTATGGCAGAGTAGGGTGATTATAGTTGACAATAATGTACTGTATATTTTAATGTATCTAAAGAGAGGATTTGAAATATTCTCAACACATAGGAAAAATAAACATTGAAGAGGATGGATACCCTAAGTACACTAACTTAATCCTTATATATTCTATTCATCTACCAAAATATCACATGTATCTCATAAATGTATATAAATATTATGTATAAGTTTAAAAGATACTTGATTAAAACAGAAGCATGGGTCACTGTAAAATAATAACTCATTAAACCAGAGTGATAATCAAAAAACTTCAACAATAATGTAGAAAGTCACATGAATGGAAAAATCATTTTAAAGCTCAGTTTTTTAAGTAATTAAAAACCTAATAAAGGCAACACAAAATTTATTTTGATGAAATGTAAAATCTTTTTATTTTAAGCCAGCTACCAAAAGGGTAATCTTTTGCAGTGTGATTTTTTCTCCTTATAAAGTGTTGATTTAGATAATCTGGAAGTTGGACCTGACTAAAAGGACACTTGAATTTAATCAAACAAAAAAATGTGTCTAACATTATAAGTGCAACAATTAGATATATCAAGAAAAGCAAAGAGTACAAAATCAAATTATATTGGAGAAAAATACTGCTTTCCTAGGCTTTCACGGTAAGTATTTTACTGTCAGGCCATAACAGCAAAGTTAGAACCAGTGGAAAAAAGTTGCTGGAGTGGACAACAAAGCAAAAAGGCCTTTTCACGGTTCTCCATGGTATTCCTTTTTTTTTTTCTTTTACAATTTTTATTTTACACTATAACAAACAACAACCATTAACATACTGCTTTTCTTCACATTCACATGGGTTTTAGAAAATTATTGCCTTTTCCCCTGGAGAAATAACCAACAGACAAAAAGAAAGAAAAAAAAAAGTAGTACCACATTGCAAAATCAGTAAATCCCAGAAGTCCACAGCTTGAAGACAACCTCCAGGGGCAGGGAGGAAAACAACTGTCACAAGAGACATAAGCACACAGAACGACAGGAAGCTGAGGAAACCAGTGCTCAACACCACTGACCCAGGATACACAGCAAGTACCCTTCTCCTCCAGGCATCTACTGCCACCACCTCGAGGGGATGACTATTTCTGGTCCACGATCTGAAAAACTCTTTTCTCAAATGAAGAGTTGCTCTGAGAAGAGGTGGAATGAGACGAGTTCAAGTATGAATAAGAATCATGCCAAAGTCCAAGGTCAGTGAAGAACCCACGGCCAAAAAACAAAAAACAAAAAAAACAGAAAAGCCAGCATCTTGCTACTTCAACCAATTGCCTCACTGGACCCAAGAAGGTATCTAAAAAACATCTCAGGCTTCAAATCAGGTTACTGATCATGTCCCCACAAACCCTGTAGGGTTACTTTCCCAACTAGACAGTGATCAGCTTATGCCCTGAAGCAACGGAGACAGACATTGAAACTGCCGAAGTTCAAAAAATAAGGTGGAAATTGTGCTTCCTTCAAAATGAATTGGCTTCGTATCTGCCTTTTCTCCTGGTCCAGCAACTTATTTCTCCCATGTTGCTGCAGGTTTACTGCCTTATGCTTGAAATGAAAAGGCGAACTTTGAGGTGCAAGGACTGGGCAGCCCCCAGAGGGAAGGGAATCTGGAAGTACAGTAGTCAGCACGTGCTGTGCTGCCCCAATGGCTTGGCCTTCCTTCAGTCCCGAGAGCCTACCCCGAGGCCCGTCTGAAGTTCATTTGCAAGCCTGGTGACCACTCGCTGTCTCGCTGGGGCAGCATGACAGAGTGAGGTCTTCAGCATTGCACAGGTATGAAATGAGTCGTAAAACCAAAAATCACAGTTGCTCTTGGGGCTGGGCTGGCTCCTCCATCCCAGTTTTAGCAGGCTGTGGCCGTGGCCGCAGGGCTTCTGCGGAGCTCCGGGACTGTCGAGCGGGTGGGCACCGGCGCCAGCACCGAGGCAGGAATGTGCAGTAGGCACCCTGCGTGTCAGGGCTCAGTGTCTGCAAAGGGCCTCTCAATGAAGAGCCTGCTGCCTCCCCTTGGCAGCAGGGAGGCGGGGGGTTGGGCGTGGAGGGCAGGATCTCAGATTCGTACTTCAGGAGCAGGCCCATGAAGCCAAAGTTGGGTGAGACCATACCCCTCCTCTGCTGGATGTTATCGAAGGCCTCCTGCAGGCAGAGCTGCTTGGTCTTCATGAGGTAAGCCATGCAGATGGTGGGTGATCGGGAGGTCCCAGCCTCTCAGTGGACCTGGACCTTGCCTCCCTTTCCCCCGACAGTCAATGAAGTCTATTGCTTCCTGAAAGTGGGAGCTAATGTCAGCCGTGTGGCTGTCTTCCGCAGGGATCCGTTTGTCGTGTAGGCGGGTCGTGCAGGCCCCGGAGGTCCGCCGGGAGACATTCAGCAGGGCTGTGATGTGCAGGCTGGCGAGGAGCTCGCCCTTGGACGCATGGTAGGCACTTCCAAGGCAGAGGAAGGGAGGGATTTCTCTGTTCCTAAATCCCTTGATACCAATGTTTACTTTTTAGAAAAACATGGTTGTTGTTTTTTTATCAATCTCAATCACACACAAAACCTCTTTTATAAAACCCATCTTATTTTTCCCATTGTTAACCCTTAATCACACTTACACACATTCATAACACATATCTGCATTATTAAAAGTGATAAAAACAATTAAGCAATTAAGTTAAAGCATCCTTTATCCCCTTATTTTCAATCCTACTCCCCGCTTCACGTCTGAAGGCAAGTATTGTTGTATAACACCCATCTTTTATAACTATTCTTTAACTTGCTTAGACCTTTTATAATGTTTTTAAAACCTCCAGTCTTAGTCTTATAATTTTTTATTTCTTTTGGGGCAACTAATCATTTTATCTTAGGACAGAAAATTATGTAAGATTTTTTCATACAGAATAATCTTTTAAAATTTGTATTTTCATTAAAAACCTAGATATTATTAGTCTTTTTATAATATACTAATAAATCTTTTTTTAAAAATGACCAATCTTTTTATAAAAGACAAATAAATATTTTTATAAAAGTCCAATAACTTTATAAAATTTAAGATGCTAGAAGAAATGCATTTAACAATTTATTTTAATTTTTTAACTAATTCGAGTATTACCTAGGCATTTAATGAGTACATAATATTTAACTTAAGGTAACTTTTAAGATTTTAAGTTATATAAAAACTTCATTCACAAACATTATTTTATTAGTAATTATCCAACTTATTTATTGACAATTATATCTGGATTACTTATGAAAATGTAGCTATTAGAGCTACTCATTTTATTTTTTTATTTACCAATTTGTAGCTAGTTAATATCAGATGTTTAAGCAAGAAGATTAGAATTAAATGGATGTACACCTCATTGTTAACTCAGAAAATATATTTTTATTAAACTGTAATTAACTTTTAATTAAATATATTAACTAATAATTAAATTTTAATTTAATAATGCCTAAATGTAACCCTAACTCTATTAAATTATTAAATTAATACTATCAAATTAATTCAATATCAATTATTAATCTTATAAAAATTATACATTGTTTTGTTTGAAACTGGGTTTATAGGTTTATGACTAACATATCTAGTAGGGGCAAATGTAAAACTGACCAGTTAACTCAGGCAAAAATGTATGTTCACAATTTTGAAAACATGTCTAATTTTATTTTTTTTATTATTATT